CTGTTGGCTGCTTCTCTTCAATATTCAACTCTTTCAGCAATCCCTTTAACCAAATAAGCTCTGATGTCGTCATTGCCATGCTTCTATACTTGACTTCAACAAAAAACTTGGCCATTGTACTTTGCTTCTTTGATTTCAAGGAAATCAGCGAGTCTCCCAACTTGATACAATAACCTGTCACCGATTTTCTAGTCATTGGACAAGTCGCTCAGTCAGAATCACAACTAGCAACAAAAACACAGTCTTTTGATGCTTTTATCGTTTCCCTAAACCAGGATTCTTCTTTATAAACTCACTACCCTTAAGGATCCCTCCAAATGTTCCTTCTTGGGGTAATGCATAAATTGGCTTAAATCTTCTATAATCTCTCCATTATTCCCCGTGATCAAAAGATCATCCACATACACTAATACTATCACCATTCTAGAACCTTGTTTCTTTCTGAATAACTAACAATCAAGTTTGCTTTGAACAAAGCCAGCCGTGACCAAGGCTTCCATCAACTTCGTATTTCACTGTCTCGGTGCTTGCTTCAAACCATACAACGACTTTTGTAGTCGACAAACCATGCCCCCCACTACAAAACCCATCAGGTAGTTCCATGTATACCTCTTCCAGCAAGTCTCCATGCAAAAATGAATTATTTACTTCCATTTGCCATAGAGGCCAGTCAAACGTAGAAGCAACAGCTAAGATAAAGCGAACGATAGTCATCTTTGCAACAGTGGAGAAGGTTTACACAAAGTCAACACCTTCTCTTTGGTTATACCCCTCGGCAACCAAGGTGCTTTAAAACGCTCAACTTCCCTTTTCGCCTTATATTTGACCAGAGAAGCATCCACTTACAATCAATACACGTCTTACTAGGAGGTAAATGAACAACGGACCAAGTTTTATTCAATTCCAGAACTTGAATCTTGTTTTATTTGTATATGGTTCAAAAGTTATTGAGTGGGGCCTACGGTGTTAATGATAAAAGTGTGAGTGATAGCTGGCTATTGTGTGTGGGACCCATGGTAGATAAGTTGTTGAGAGGTGATTGGTGAGCATGGAGTGTGTGATGTTATCCCTATATATACCCTGTAAAATGTAAAGAGTGATATAGCCTTTCCATGTATTCAGACGTGAAAGTTTTAAGAAGTTTTTTAAAGTTGCCTTCTTATGATCATTTACGTGTGCATAAATCGCGTCATCTAGGTTTTGATGAATTAATTTTTCCGTTTGCTAAGGGTGGTACCGTGGATTCTCAATCTATCGCTTCTACATATTTTGATCCGAATATTTTTGTGGTGCCTGGAGCTATTGAATTACTTCGATCATTACCTGCATGTAGTGAGAATTGTGGTGAGATGGATAGCGTGAATTCAAGGTCTGAGATTGTGCATGATTCTGCTCCAATTGTGCATGTGCATGAGAAGCTCCAATTGTGCATGTGAATGAAAATGTGGCAGTGGATGTAATTGATACATCCGATGATGTAACTGATGATTTGGGGGCAGTGGATGTGAATTTTAATTCAGTGCAGGATCGTGAGAATGACTCACATACTGTGGCAGCACAGGACACGTTGGATCTTGTTCCTTAGTGTGGTGACCGGGAGGCTATGTGTGGATTTAATGATGTTGGTTCAAGTCAACTACAGGATGGGTCACAACATGGTGCAGTTAATACCGTGTTGAGGATTTTCATGGTGAGGGTGGTAATTCTTTTGGGAGCGATGATTGTGATACTCCGGTTCCTACCACAATTGAACCAAGGCGAGGCGATTTTAATGTTCATCCTATGGTGACTCGAGGCAAGGCGGGTATTTTTAAGCCACGAGCATTTCATGCGGTAGAGGACAGCAGCGTTGATATTGAACCAGCCACGATACGATAAGCTTTTGCTTCTCCTAAATGGAAACAAGCATTTTTGGATGAACATGACGCTCTCATAAAAAATGGGACGCTCTCATAAAAAAAGGGACGTGGAAAGTTGTTCCTTTACCGAAAAATCGAACTACCATTGGTTACTGGTGGTTGTTTCGCATAAAGAAAAATCCGGATGGTTCATACGCTAATTACAAAACGAGATTGGTGGCAAAAGAATTTGCTTAAATTTCGAGTCATGATTTCAGGGATACATTTAGTCCGATTGTGAAGGCCTCCACGGTTCATGTTGGGTTAGCATTAGCAGTTACAAATAATTGGAAGCTTCGATAGGTAGATGTCAATAACACTTTTCTTAATGGTGACTTAGTTGAGGAAGTTTTATGGTTCAACCACCTGGGTTTGAATAAGAGTCTGTCACGGACGAACATCTTGTGTGTAAATTACAAAAGGATCTTTATGGATTAAAACATGCACCTCGGAATTGGTATGAGAAGCTTCAAAAAAAATTACTTTGCAATGGGTTTGTTGTTACACAGGCTGATGTATCTCTTTTTATTAAACATGATGATACAAGGTGTGTTTATGTTCTTGTTTATGTCGATGACATTGTTATTATTGGTGATAGTGATGATTTTGTTGAAGATACGATCCGACTACTTGGCAAAGAGTTTTCTCTAAAAGATCATGGGGAACTGAGTTTCTTTTCTTGGGCTTGAAGTTGATTGTGGTGATGGTACCTTGCTTTTGAGTCAGTTTAAGTATATTTGTGAACTGTTGGAACGAGCGGATATGGGTGAGGCTCGACCTGCTCCAACACCAATGTTATTTTCTCCCAAGTTGTCTCGGGATGGTGATAGACCTCTTCATGATCCTCAATTATAACAAAGTGACGTAGGAGGATTATTATATTTCAATCATACTCGGCCTAATATTTCCTTCAGCATTGGGTGTGTTGCTCAATACATGCATCAACCTTGTGAGTTGCATTGGTTAGCAGTTCAACGTATTTTATGTTATCTAAGTGCAACTCACACATTTAATTTTATTAAATCGGAGAACCACTGTCGATTAAGGGACATATGATGGGTGCAACCCAAATCTAATATCCATTCAACTAAATGAAATGTTAATGATGAAGCAACGAATGATATGTCAGATTCATTGTCATCATGCTTTGTAACACATGCATATGGAACAACTTTTCCTTTCTTTTTCAGTTTCAGACAATATTTCTTCCAATGGTCTTTCTCATAACAAAAGACGCATTCATCTATTTTCAGTCTGAACTTCAAATTTGATCTCCCTATCCTCTTTGACTTTTGGCTTTTTGAGCGACCTCTTTCCACCATGGCCTCCGCTGCTTCGTTCTTGCTCTCATTCTTAGTTTTCTTCCTAAGCTCAAAACTTTACAAAGAAACAATTACATATTTAAGGGTAACTTGATCCTTACTATGAAGTAACATCTTCTCAAGGTGCTCAAATTCATCTGGAAGAGATGACGACAACATTAAAGTCAAATCTTCATCTTTGAAGGTTTCATCCATACCAATAAATATGCTACTAGTTCATTGATGGCAGTAATGTGTTCATTCATACGGGTGTCTGGTTGATAGTCAAATTTGAAAAATGTTTCCTTCATGTGGAGACGATTCTAAGAGATTTTCTTTAGGAATTTTCCCTCCAAATCCTTATAGTCATACTTCTGCTCCTTGGAAATACAAGATCGAATCATGCTGCACGATAAATGATTGATTATTTCCCCTTTTTTCTCCTCCATATCTACAGGCTCTTCTTCCTCAATGGCGATATCTAGACCTTGTTGGAATAAAGCGTCTAATACCTCGCCTTGTCGCATGTTGAAATGATCGGAACCATTGAACAACTCCATCGAGAAGTTTGTATTTGACATCACCTTCCTCATAGGTCAAGATGAAGAGCTTGATGTCCCAACTGATCTGTATTTTTTCATTTCAATATCAAAGAATAATATTCAACAACACAAATTTCATATTTTCAGCAACATAACCATCGAGATAACCTCAACTGAAGCTCTAATACTGTTGGGAAAATCGGGTTATTTCCCACGCGAACTTAGTTTCAAAACTGATCTAGAACGTAAAGATCAAAACTACCAAAATTGCACAACAAACAAACCCATCAAACTCTTGAATATTGAAACATAATAGAAAAATCCAATAAAGAAGAATAATGGAGAGAACACACTAAATTTACGAGGTTCAACGAAAATATCGTCTACTCCTCATGCACCACCAAAAGATAATAACTTTACTATTAAGAAAATATTACAACAAACGGAATTCATTAGAATTTCCAAAATATTGCAAAATGAGAGAACGGAGAAAAACAAATAGGAGGATGATTTTTGGATGATTTCAAGTGAAAGTACTTAGGTCTATTTATAGTTGAGCTTCAAGGACTAAACTTATAAATAACTTAATAGTTTAGAGACCAAATGAGTGATTTTCCCATCTTTTTTTCAAACTACTTGTCAACTTACCAACTTGAACTTTTGATCCATTTAATCTTGTATCAATCTTTAACTAAAATGGTTGTCATATTTTAATGTTTGGTAGCGGCAAAGTTGAGCTTGAATTCTTTAGTTGTAGCTAAATCAAACTTGAATTATTACCAATTTTGACCAACACTTTGGACTTATCAAATTGGAGGCTAGTAAAATTACAAACCGCTCGTAACAATCAACAATCTCCGTAAATTTTATACTTAAATTTATTGTATTGTGAAAACTTTTGTATTTAAATTACCAAAAGTTAATATTGTCAGGTCTCAGTTTAAATAATGTTTAATGTTTTTAAGTTTTATATTTTTATCATGTCATCAAATTTGATATTTTTAATAAATAAATAGAAAAAATGTTATCCAAATCAATTTGAACCAAATATTCTGATTAACTAATAAATTGATTTAATAGGCCAACAGTGCTGCTTGAAGGTCCAGGAAACTTAACATATCATTTGCCATTTCCCATTTGTGATATGGACCATTTAATCAATAAAAAAAAGTTGGAGGTGGAAGTCATACAACAGTGAATTTTATTACGCAAGTAGTCTCTTATAAGCAAACATGAAACTTCACAAAAAGTAAAGAAAGGGTTCAGTTGATAATTATTGTTGGAACTTGGAGGTGGAAGTATTTTAATGAAACTCGGGAGTTATGTAGGGACTTGGTGGTGTTGCAATTTCTGGGCTTCCTTTTTTCCTGGAAAATATCCCTCCAATCAGGGGAATCAATGGCTTCTTCTTCTTCTTTCTTAGTGAAGGGTGTCTCTCGAGTTTTTCCACACCTTGTGGGACAATGACTCGAGCCAAAGAGGGTGGATTTGCAAACGTAACGTAACTCTTCTTTTGGAACTCTGTTCCTTGTTCATCGCATGTTTGTGTTTTCTCGACACTGAACTCCGGGACTACCTCGACCTCAAACTCCATCATTAGTTTCTCGGCGATTTCTCGTTCCTTCATTTTCCGCAGATCTCTCTTTGTTCTTTCAAGCTCTTCTTCAAGAGAAGACAGGCAATTCGCCATTGCCATACTCTCCTCTCTGGCCCTTTCAAGGTTATGTTTCGTCCCCTCCAGTTCAGCTGTCACGGTTCCCAGCCTGGTTAAACCATTTCCACTTGCTTCGCCATGCATCTGTCAGCAACTAACTTATTACTATATTTTTTTTACAGTAAATGAACATTTAGAGCGATGCAAAAGGAGAAAAGAAACAAGTCGAATTATTTACCTCCTTGAGCTTGGTGGCATAAAGTTCACCGGCTAAATTCTTATCTCCGAACAAGGCGACGGCCTCTTTAACCGACCTGAACGGCGCCCTGTAATCGATCTCCGCCCTCTTCATCATCATATGAAATTCGGAAAAAGAGTGAAGAAAGAAGTCTGTTATATATTTAGAGAGGAGGAATGGGGAGGGAGCAAAGGCAAATATGGTGGTAAGGGAGCTTCGTTACTTCGCGTCCACTTTACTTACATTGAAGTCTCAAGGTGAAGCTAGTTGCTGTTGATGGGCTTGAAAATCTTGCTTTTAGCTGTACTCTATGGATCAAAGGGCCCAATCAAATTCAACGCACAAGTGTAATTAAGATATTGGGAGAATACCCGAAAGAGGACAAATAGAAAAACATCCTCAAAATTGGATGTACCGAACAACAACAAAGCATAGATGCTGTGTCAACATCCAAATCTCCATCTTTTCCCACTTTTTGGTTTACACTATAAAAAAAAAACCCATCCACCTTTTACACAAAAATTCATTGTAAAAATATTATGACTGATTTAATATATTAAATAATCTAAGGAGAGATCTAATAATAAAATAAATATTATTTTCTTTAAATAATCTATTTTTTTTAAAGAATAGAACTTTAAGGTGAAATTTTATAAATAAGACAACCTGGATTGTCTTAGGAAAGGCGACTAATATACGACTAATATACAGTATTATCGGATATATTAAAAGATATTTAATAAATTCGGTTTAGCGCTACTTATTATGTTGACAGACTAATAATGTTTTAGGTAGAAAACATGAAAAACTATTAAAAAATTTGGTAACCGGTAAACTTTGGTTAGCGCTTATATAATGTAATAGGTAGCGCTTATATAATGTAATAGGTAGCGCTTATATAATGTAATAGGTAGCGCTTATATAATGTAATAGATATCGCTTATATAATAAAATAGGTTAATTACTGAAAACATTATTAAGCACAATAACATATTAGGTACCGCTTATATAATGTAATAGGTAGCGCTTATATAATAAAATATGTTAATTACTGGAATATTATTTTTAAAATATTAGAATAATTTATTTAATATTATTTATGTAAATATTATTATTAAAATATTATATCTATAATTTTATAAATAAAAAATTATGATTATTATATTTTATTAAAATAAAATTATTATAAATTATATTTATTATTTTTTATAATAAGAATAATATATCATTAATTATATTATAATGAGAGAATAGTTAAACATATATGTCGATACATTTTCTAAAAGTATCGACACATATGGTATAAAACACGTAAAAATTACCGAAAACATCATTATTTTAACAAAACAGGTAAAGCGCTACCGATTTTGTTATTTTTTTACAGGTTTTGTTATTGTTGGGCATTTTACCGGAAATATTAAAAAACATTGATGTTTTAGGTAGAAATAATAATGTTTTAAGTAATTTTTACCGGTTTTGTTATTCTCAACAATAACAAAACCGGTAAAAATAGACTTTTTAATGATAAAATTAGTAAACACAAATTATACAAATTAATTTTAATTTTTTAGTTTGTAAGTTGCCACAATATAACTAATGAAAAAAAAGGACACGATATTTCTATTTCGATATTAGCTTTCAAATAATAAAATAAAATATATATATATATAATTACAATATAATTTTAAAAAATAATCATAATGAAGTGATGAAAAATAATTATAATTACAATATAATTATAAACATCAAATACAATAAAATAATATTATTTATTAACAAAATAATAATATTATTTATTAACAAAATAATAATAATATTTTTAAAATATTAGAATAATTTATTTAATATTATGTATGTCAATATTATTATTAAAATATTATATCTATAATTTTATAAATAAAAAATTATGATTATTATATTTTATTAAAATAAAATTATTATAAATTATATTTATTATTTATTATAATAAGAATAATATATCATTAATTATATTATAATGAGAGAATAGTTAAACATATGTGTCGATACATTTTCTAAAAGTGTCGACACATATGTTACATCGAAACCAATAATTATAATATAATAGATAAATTTACAATGTAACCGGTATAAATTTACCGGTTTTATGAGAGAATAGGTTTACATAATGTATCGACACAAATTTAAAAAGTGTCGATACATTTTGTCCAGAATGAATGTCAAACGAGGTGCACGCATAAAGTGTCGATACATTTATTAAAAGTATCGATCCCAAAAATATCGAAACAAATAATTACAATGTAATAGGTAAATTTACAATATACTCGGTAGAAATATATCGGTTTTATGAGAAAATAGGTCTACATAATGTATCGACACATTTTAAGTTTGTGTCGATACTTTTTTCGAGAATGAATTTCCAACGAGGTACACACATAAAGTGTCGACACATTTATTAAAAATATTGATCCCAAAAAATCCAAACGGATAATTACAATATAATAGGTAAATTTACAATGTACCCGGTAGAAATATACCAGTTTTATGAGAAAATAGGTCTACATAATGTATCGACACGTTTTAAGTTTGTGTTGATATTTTTTTCCAGAATGATGCCCAACGAGGTACACGCATAAAGTGTCGATACATTTAAAATTATATCGATCCCAAAAACATCGAAACCGATAATTATAATGTAATAGGTAAATTTACAATGTTACCGGTATAAATATAATGATTTTATGATAGAATAGGTCAATATAAGCGCTACCTATTACATTATATAAACGTTACCTAATATGTTATTGTACTTGATAATATTTCCAGTAATTAACCTATTTTATTATATAAGTGCTACCTATTACATTAAATAAACGCTACCTAATATGTTATTATGCTTAATAATGTTTCCAGTAATTAACCTATTTTATTATATAAGCATTACCTATTACATTATATAAGCGCTACCTAATTTATTATTTTACTTTATAATATTTCCGGTTAAATGATATAATATAACCGATTTAAATTTTAACCGATAACTTATTTAAACGACCCTACCATTTTTTAGTCGTATTTTAACTGCCGCACAACATAACTAACTATTAAAAGAGTCTTTATTTATTCATATTAAGACCCGATTCCAGTCTAAATTTTTGTGGAATCTCAGTACAACAAAGGGATATGAAATGATCTTAGACAGTTAATAACAGGAGAAATCGTTGATTATAATATTAAACTTATAAATCTTAGAATCCAAACTGTTGAAGCTTTCCCATCATGGAGTTAACGGAGCAAATACTTTCTTCCTCGTTCTCAACCTCACAATAAATTTATATAAAAGCAAAGGAAAAATAACGATTTCTATACATTTTCCCCTTTTTTTTTTGGAGCAATGTCGGTCATTATGGCAACTGCAACTTCGCTAGCCGTTGGATCGATCCGTAGCAGGCGATCCACGAGTGGGGTGACACGGTTCAAGATGGCTGTCCGATCTAGCTCCATTTCAGTGGCTGTGGCTCCCATGTTGACCAAGCTGCAGCAAGACTGCGCTACTCCTCTGCCCGTTCTTCGCAGCGTGGCTGACTCCATGTCCGCTGATATGCGTGCTGGCCTCGCCGTTGATGGCGGCAGCGATCTAAAGATGATTCTCAGCTACGTTGATAGCTTGCCTACCGGGTACGTTCATTCAAAGGATCAGCTTTATTTTTAGCTTGTTGTTTCTGTTTAAGCTTAAAAAAATGGAGATTTGTGTTGTTAAGGGACGAGAAAGGATTGTTTTACGCGTTGGATCTCGGGGGGACCAACTTTCGGGTGTTGAAGGTTCAGTTAGGTGGGAAAGATGAGCGCGTGATCTCCACTGAATCGGAGCAACTTTCCATCCCACAAGAACTCATGTCTGCTACCTCTGAGGTTTGCACTTTTTTTTTTGTGTTTTTGCTATTTTTCTTTTCTTTGAGAACATTAATTAAATCTCTTGTGGTATATGCATATGTTATGATGTTGTAGGAGCTGTTTGATTTTATTGCTTCTGTTCTGGAAAATTTTGCTCAAAAAGGTGGAAACTTTAACTTACCCCCTGGAAGAAAAGGCGAAATTGGGTTCACTTTTTCTTTCCCAGTGAAGCAGACATCCATTGATTCTGGAATACTGATCAAGTGGACCAAAGGTTTTGCAGTCTCAGGAACGGTTTGTATTGTCATTTTAGATTTTTGGGGCTTTAAGATCATACCTATAAACTGTACCTTTACTTGAAGATCATTCGACAAAAGAATCAGTCACCCAAACATGCATCAACAATGTTATTAATAGTACAGTTGATATTAACTTGATCTATTGAATCTTGGATAAAAATAGTATATTGTCTGACATTTGTTGCCGTGTTTAAAATCAATATGCAGGCTGGAAAAGATGTGGTTGCTTGCCTGAATGAAGCTATGGATAGGAAAGGGATAGATATGAGAGTGTCTGCCTTGGTATGTTCTTCAGCTCTTGTTCTGTTATTGTCATTGAAAGTTCTTTGAATATCATCAATATAGGAACCATTCTAAATAATTTAGGCTTTAGTAGGTGAATGATGCGGTGGCAACTTTGGCCGGAGCTAGATATTGGGATGATGATGTTATGGTTGCTGTCATTTTGGGTACTGGAACAAATGCTTGCTATGTAGAACGGATGGATGCTATTCCTAAATTGCAAGGCGACTTTTCCCCCTCTCGAAGAACAGTGAGTGATAGTTGTCTTTCGTATGTTCTTATTCAATAATCATAATTGCAATCAAGTCTTATGGATATCTCCATCATTCACAGATTGTTAACCTTGAGTGGGGAGCATTCAGAAAAGGCCTTCCATTAACGGTGTTCGATAGAGATATGGATGCTGCTAGTATCAATCCTGGAGAGCAGGCAAACTCGAAGTTTAATTTGTCTATGTTAACTCCTATCAGTCTAGTACAGGCTTTCTGATGTGCAAATATTTGTTCATATGTTGTAGATATTTGAGAAGACAATCTCCGGAATGTACCTTGGTGAAATTGCACGAAGAGCTCTAATGTATATGGCCGAAGAAGGTTCTCTGTTTGGGAAATCCGTGCCGGAAAAATTGTCCTTGCCTTTTGTTCTGAGGTAATTCTTCTTCAAAGTGAAAAGCCTAGAACTTGAAATTCCATTTCAGTTTCATGCTGTGGAATTTACTTCAGTAAGATGGTAATTTGGGGGAGCAAGTAAAATTGCTTGACAAGTCTCCGTGCCTCTCAGTCCCTTGTTCTCTTAATTGAAAAGTGGATTCATTTGTTTTTAACTTTCTGTAGACATCCACACTTAATTAACATCCTCTTGCTGAGTTATTTCTGAATTGTTGTAGAACCCCAGATTTATCTGCAATGCAACAGGATACCACGGATGATCTGCAGACCGTTGGATCGGTCCTATATGATGTAGCTGGGGTAAAATTTCTCATCATTACTCTAATAGTTTGAACTTCAGCTTCTATGTTCTTGAAAACAGATTTCAAATATTTCAATCATATCCAATGTTACAATCAGGTCGAGTCCGACCTAAATTCAAGGAAGATTGTCCTAGAGGTTTGCAACACTTTCGTGAAGCGAGCTGGACGCTTAGCTGGTGCTGGAATAGTGGGGATTCTTCAAAAGATAGAGGAGGATACAAAAGGTGCCATCTTCGGGAAACGAACAGTGGTGGCAATGGACGGAGGCTTGTATGAGCGCTACTCCCAGTATAGGAGATACTTAAAAGAGGCTGTAGCAGAGCTTATTGTACCTGAAACATCTCGGAACATCGTGATAGAGCATTCCAAGGATGGCTCTGGGATTGGGGCTGCTCTCTTGGCTGCTACAAACTCCAAGTATGAACGGAATCTTTAGGCAGATACACCTCATATTCATAGTATCGGGAAGGAAAATTATTGCTTTGTATTTGATCTCTTTATCCAATTGCATTTTTGGTATGTTAAGTGTAAAACTGTCTGTAAGTTAGATTTTAAATCCGGATTGTAGTGTTGTGTGCTCTGTAGTGTTTAAGTAGAGCCAATAATTGTGAAATCAACGACTTGCTTCTATTTGCATAACCATTCACCCTTTTAGTTATTTTAATATTTTTAGCCAAGTTGTAGTATTAAAAAAGCAGAATCATTATATTTATATAACATCTTAATCCCATATATAGAAAAAGATAAATATTATTTAATCATTTTGTCATTGTATATGCATATCTATAACATCTAAGCTTGCTACTAAAGGGAGAAGCATATATAATGACACCTCCCCCATCTTGTCAAGTGCAAAGCAGGACGAGAACAAAAAAAACCTTTGGTTCATGTTAATAAAATTTGTTTTCATGTTTTTAGGGATTTAGTAGTTGTTGTACATCAGGTATTTAGTGGCTACAAATCATGGATGGTCTTATTTTAAATTTTCCTTTGTTGTTATGAGTCCTGTTAAGAGTCTTATTCTACTAGTGCCTAATTTTCTTTTTCCTTTTTGTTATTAAATTGCCTATATAAATAGGCTGTCAACGTTATGAGTTTATTGAGCTAAATATTGCATTTTTCCTTTCCTTTGTTTTCAAACCTACTGCTGTTCCTCTTAGTAAGCTAACAGTGGTGTCAAAGCCAAGTATTTTCAGTGGGAAAAAAATTGTGGTCGTCTTATAGTTTCTGAAAATTTGTACAAGTACCTATTCCACGTTTTGATGGTCACTATGATCATTGGAGCATGTTCATGGAGAATTTCTTACGGTCCAATGAGTTTTGGCAGGTTATTGAATACAGAGTGCCAGCACCAACAAATGGAGAAAGGCTTACAGAAGCACAACAAAAAGATAAGGAGGGGCAGAAGCTGAAAGATTTGAAAGCGAAGAATTATTTATTTTAAGTTATTGATCATTCAATCCTGAAAGATAATTAGTAGTATTCCTCAAATTGTCATTTCATCCCAGGTTTGTGAAAATTGTGTTGTTGACAAACAACATCGTGAACAACATCCCAAAGGAAAGTCTTGGAGAGCAAAATGTGTACTAAAATTGATTTATTCATACATTTGTGGGACAATAAAACCATCATCTAATTGAGGTAAAAATTATTTCCTTGCTTTCATTAATGATTATATACAAAAAACATGGGTTTACTTCTTACCGGAGAAATCGGAAGCATTTAGTGTCTTTACTAACTTCAAGGTACTTGTTAATAATGAAACCAGGAAAAGCATTCAAGCTCTTTGCACTGACCATGGTAGAGATTATTGCTCTAAGGAATTTGAAGCATTTTCTGAGAGTTATAGCGTTCAAAAAGAACTTATCGTTGCATATACTCCCTAACAAAATGGCCTATTGGAGAGGAAAAATAGAATCATACTTAATATGGTACGCACCATGCTTTGTGGTGGAAGGGTCCCAAAATGGTTTTGGCCAGAGGCGGTAAATTAGAGCATCCATATCTTGAACAGAAGTCTAACTTTTGTTGTCCAAAACATGACACCTGAAGAAGCTTGGAGTGGAAGAAGACCAGTTGTAGATCACTTTAGAATTTTTGGTTGCATTGTTTATACACATGTTTCAGATGTAAAGAGAAAAAAAACTTGATAAGAAGGGAGAGAAGTGTGTATTTCTAGGTGTAAGTGAAGCATCTAAAAAATATAAATTGTTTAATCCTTTAACAAAAAAAAATTATGACTAGCAGGGATGTTATTTTTGATACGGAGAACACTTGAAATTGGGATGACCTACTGCCTTCACAAACCTTTATTGACATTGAAATTAAAGGTGAAAGGTAGCAACCTTTAGATCAGCAAACTCAAGCAATTTTGAGCTTGAGGATCCATCAAATAAAGTTTCAATAGCCACCATAATGAAGGTAGTTGAACCTCGTCCTAATCATATTCGATGGAGACCAGCTTGGATGGGAGATTTCGAAGTAACTTGTATTGGTCATATTGTATATCCAATCACCCACTATTCCTTATATGCACATTATGATCCAACAACCTTTGAAAGAGTTGTAAAAGAGTCAAAATGGCGATAGACAATGGATGAAGAAATTGCAAGTATATAGAGAAATGATACATGAGAGTTCACCAAGCTTCCGAAAGGGCACAAAAAAATTGGTGTTAAATGAGTGTATAAGACAAAGTTGAAGGAGAATAGAAAAGTTGACAAATATAAGACGCGTTTGGTGGCCAAAGGTTATAAGCAGGAGTTTGGGTGGATTAAAAAGAAGTCTTTGCTCCTGTTACTAGGCATAATGCAATCAGATTGATAATTTCACTTGCAGCTCAACACTCTTGGCCTATCTTACAATTAGATGTAAAGTCGACATTTTTTTTCATGGTAAGCTTCAAGAACAACAAATATTTATTGAACAACCTGATGGTTATGTTAAATATAGAAGTGAAAATAAAGTTTATAAACTGAAAAAGGCTTTATATGGGTTGAAACAAGCCCCACGTGCTTGGTACAATCGAACTGAAGCTTATTTCTTGAAAGTTGATTTTACCAAATGTCATTATGAGTCTACTTTTTCATTAAATCTAGTGATGAAAGCAAAATGCTTATGGTCAAAGTATATGTTGATGATCTTATTTTCACTAGAAATTGTAGTTCCATGTTTAAGGAATTCAAAAGGTCTATGATAGCTGAGTTTGAAATGTCAAATCTTGTTATGATCCATTATTTTCTAGGCATAGAAGTAGTGTAATCAGCTGATGGAGTATTTCTTTCTCAAAAGAAATATATCCAAGAATCAAGATATTCTAAGAATGTTTGATATGAAGATTGCAATCCAGCAAATACTCTCATTGAGTTCGGTTTGAAGTTGAATAAAGAAGAAAAGAAAGTGGACAACACTTTTTTACAAGAAGATTATTGGCAGCTTAATGTATTTGAGTGGTACAAGACCTGAATAATGTATTCTGTGAGTTTGATCAGCATGTTTAAGAAGAATCCTACGAAGATGCATTTATTGGCTACCAAGAGAATCTTTCGTTACTTGCAAGGAACCAAGGATTTTGGATTGTTTACAGCAATCCATTATTATTTTATCAACAACAGAAGCTGAATTTATCGTTGCAAACATCTTGTGTTTGTCAAGCTATTTGGTTAAGGAAAATCTTGGAGGAGTTGAAGTTCAAGAGAATAAGAACTATAACAATATTTTATGACAACAACTCAACTATCATACTTTTAAAAAATTCAGTATTACATGGCAGAAACAAACATATTGATGTGAAGTACTATTTTTATGAGAGATATCAGGTAATGCAAGAGTAAAGATTAGTGGACTCATATATTCACTAAACCTTTCAAATTGCTTCCCTTCCAAAAGTGAAGGTCCTTGGAAGTTTGCACTTTGGAGAATCCTACTTGAAGAGAATGACGCTAGTAAACTGTAGTTCAAGGCATTTTAAGTTTAAGGAAGGGATTGTTAATAAAATTTGTTTCCATGTTTTTAGAGGTTTAGTAGTTTCTGTATACCAGGAAAAATTATTAGATGGTCCCGGCTCACCACATCATTCGTGGTCCTAACCAATAATAATTTTTCATCTCATTTTTTTCTAAGGTGAATCTTCAACTCTTTCCTACGTGTAAATAAAGAGTGGACAATTATTTGAAAGTTATTTTAAAATGTGTGACTCTAATTCACTGAGACCATAGATGGTGTGGTAAGCCGGGACCATGAAATAATTTCTCGTATATCAGGGATTTAGTGTCTACTAATTTTGGGTAGTTTTATTTTGAATTTTCCTTCGTTGTTAAGAGTTCTATTAAGAGTCTTATTTTACTACTGTCTAATTTTTTTTTCAATTGCCTATATAAATAGACTGTCAATGTTATGAGTTTAATGTTATGGGTTTATTGAGTTGAATATTATATTTTCCCTTTCCTTTGTTTTCAATCCTACTGTTTGATAAACTAACACTTCCAACAATGGTACAGCCTTAATCTTTACTCTTTCTCTCCCTCGACGATGACTGAGTTAGAAAATCTGATATCTTTTTTTATCATTTTTTTGTGTTCTTGATCATGGCAGATCTGATTGGTTTTGTTGCAAAACAGGCAAGGCAAGACTCGTGTAGCCAAATACAATGTTCCTCTCGAGGATTCCGAGAAGCACAAGGTCAAATACGAGGTATTACATTTTCCCTTCATATTGTTTACTATTCGAGATAGTTGACCTTTCCTTTTGTTTATAGTTTTTGAATTCTGGACGATTTGTTAGTTAGGACTCCTGGATTCCTTGGTTTGCAGGTTCATTGATTGGTGGTTAACAGAGAACCACAATTACCAATTTCTTTCATTAATAATGATTTTAAAGAAGTCACTAAGAAATATAAAAGCAGGGGTAACTAGACTGCAAGTATGCAATAGCTGAATTTTGATTGATTTTATGCATTTACTTTTTGCACTTTCGTACGCACAAGGTAATCTACAGGCGGTGTGCTGGATTGTTCTTCTCCTTGTGTGTTGTAATGAGTTGGCATACTTGGAAAGCATCCATTTATTTGTGGAGATATTGGAACATTTTTTTCAGTAATATTTGCGAGCTCGACTTGGTCTAATTTTCACATCTCTGATAGTTATTGTTAACTTGCTGGATTGAAATTTGCCACCTGATTCTTATGAAGATGCCATTTTCAAAAGCTTTATATTTGTTGATAAAAGTTTGTGCTCTCAAGCCTTTTCAAATTGCTTTTCGCAATTTTGATCGTGCATGTGAAAGCTAGTCCTGGCTCTTTGCCTGCACTGATTTGTTCATGCGTTACCTGGTGTGTTGATGTTAGCTTTTCTGATTACTGATACAAATATGAGTAAACGGAAGCAAATAGAATTACAAACTTCATTATTATGAAGTAAAATATAATATATTCAAACTCAAAAAATAACAAGTGATTAAACATATAATATCGCCCAAAAGAAAAGTAAGGGGGGGGGGGGGAAGAAATGAGTTGTGCTTTACGTATGACACATTATTTGATTTATTCTTAGGAGAAGATTTATTATTTGAAAGCTAGTCCTGGCTCTTTGCCTGCACTGATTTGTCCATGCAATTCGTTGATTTCACGACAAAGCTCAAAGGAGAAGATTCGTTCCAATCCAAGTTGATTAAAAACTCAAGGGCACTTGCGTCTGCCGCCGTGGGTGGTCAAGCTAGCATAGCACGGGCACATTTCTTGGTTACCGGCAGTACCCGGAGGAACACAGTTGCAGCGGGAGCAACATGTCCCGCACGCCCTCTTGCATAGGTTCGGCCTCGACGATAGACGGCACCTCGCCGCACAAGCCCCACCGCAGTCTGAGAAAAAAAAAACACAAATCGATATGTCAATAAAGGGTCTCAGCCTATAGTTTTCTGCATACAATCGAGGATCGATCCTATTTACCGATTTTCATTGGGGCAGTGGTTCCCTTGTTGCTGGCACTTGTCACCTGTATTTCACATTAATATGTATCTTAAACTAAGATAATTACAGTTCACTAACAAATATTCACTGAAAAAAGGAAACCAAAGAAAAAAGAAGTGATCAAGCTTTTACCAGTTGATCAGCATAAACAAGTTGGATAAGGAGAAGAGATACGAGAAGTGAGGCTATCAAAACCTTAGAAATAGCCATGGCTGAAACAAGAAATAGAGACTTGTGTTTTGTGTGGAAAACAAGAGAAGTATTTCTCGTATTTATAGCCCAAAAATTGCCAGTGGAGAGAACAAAGGAGAAAGTAATACTGGCAGTAAACTAGTACTCGAGAGGGGTTAGGTGTGTAACATACGAGAAAATAAGAAATGATGGCTTGCCGGGGAACATCTGGTGGAGGAAAAGCCCCACTGGAACCATCTGCAGAAATCAAGTGGACGAAATTTTACCCGCCATCCAATAATGGATCCACTTACGAATTCAAAAATTATTTTAAAGTAGTACAACTAAAATTACAGGATGAATGCAATTAATAAAAATAATTAATTAATCGAATAAATTTCAAATTTCATAGAATACACGTACCCATCATAAATTTGATGTAGATTCGTCATTCGATTGATAGAGGGTTGTTGTTCTTTTAAAAATTTAGATATTTTCTTTAATAATTTCTATTTATAATTTGTTTTCAATTATTCTAAAATTTTATAAATTTATCTCTCGTTAAAATAATATTATAAATTTGTTTACAATATAAAATTTTACATTCGTTCTTATTGTTACAGTATAACCTCTATAAATTAATAACTTCTCTAAAATAATAATTTCTCTCGGTCCTTACTTGGGCTCAAGGTCTAAATTAATAATTGTGATAAATTAATAAGATAATAATTTTCGGGAAGATCATTATATAAATTTATGGTCTTTCAATATTATAAATTAATAATTCTATAAAATTAAAAATATAAATAGGAAAATTTGGAAAAAAGCGATTTTATTGTTGTTTGCTTCTTAAAATTTAAATCTAGTTGTATTTCATCTTTAACTTTTCTTAAAATATGAATATCATTCCATTAGTCAATATAATGTATATGATTTATTCATGAAACATATTATAGATTTGTTGTATTGAAAAAATCTTTTTAAATTAATAAATTAGTTAATTAGTTAATATATCTTTAAATTAATAAAATTGATTTATTCTAATATTATTGATTTATAGAAATTTTACTGTATACGTACAAATAAATCCTCTAGCGTAAGTTTCACGTGTAAATATTTCCATTCCCAATGGTTAATAAAAGGCATAGCATTTTTGGATTTATAATCAATATTCTCATCACATCGATCGATTAAAGCAAAACGAAAGTGAAATTGAAAATGAAGGGGGTCACGAAGCAATGAAATTGCAACGTTTGGAGGCATCGAGAATTAATGAAGCCCAATTAATTTAATTGCCTATTAGGCAAGATACGTAGGACAAAGATGTGACTTTGTCATTTAACAATGAGAACGCTCGGCTGTATTCAACAACAGCTGTGGCGATTGGTACTTGTCCATCGAATTTCACCAGTTTTCAAAGGCTTTGCAAGTCTTGGAAATGGAATGAATTCCATGCCCCTTTTAGGCCACAAGACCTGTCCTGAATCCTGCTTAATTTTAGCACTATTAAACTTAACATCAGTATTATCTTTAAGCTTTAAGCATTTAGCACATTGTTTATGTTAGGGTAGTTGGGTCCAAAGATATTTAAATCAGTTGTAATGAGAATGAATCATTGAAAATATATAATAACATAATCGAGTTTGTTTAAATTGATCAATAATCTTATATTTTTTAAATCTTGTTCAAAGAAAAATTCACTATGATATTTTAAAACTATAATAGTTTAAATACGTACTGCTTATTACCCTCTTGTTGTGGTAAGAGGATAAAGAAAGTTATTGCGCCAGATTATGCTAAGCGGTAAATGGATAAAGAAGAAGTGTATGGAAAGGGATGTGGGTCTGCCGGTCTGGTAAGAGTGAGCCAAGCGGCCGCCTTGGGGTTTGGACACACGCAGCAGTGAAATCATTGCTAAACTTAAGGATTCAGGCTGGAACCAAAGTTATATTGGGACAAACACAAGGTTTAAATATAAGAATATGCGACAGCTGGTGGCTAATCATTAACACTAATGCGTCACAGCTCATCAGTTCCACGTTTTCTTGTAAATAAATGTAACGAATAAAGTATTTAAGTATTTAAAAAAGTTATTGTTATTTTTTTAGGGTGTTAAATACTTTTAATTTTTTTAATTTATTCATTGAATTTTAGATATTAATTTTTTTTTTATCACTCGACCAATTACCAATGGTCTCGGTAATGTCTAAATGATGTGGCTTTTTTTATTAATATTGAATAATTATATATTTTTTATTAATATTAAAATATGACATGGAATATTTAAATAAAATAATAAAAAAAAGCTTAATAGCCCTCACCCTCCCACCGCACCCCACACCATCCCTACATCCTTCTTCTCCGACCACCATCTTAATTGCCCCTTGTAAGGAGAAATGCATCCAACCTATTTTGAAATACTTCAATTGTAGACTGAAAGGTAAGTTTTGTTTTATCAACATTATCATTTTAATAATCAAATAAGTATACCAATACTAATGGAGAAATCAACCATTGCTGAGGGAGAAGTAGCTGCGACAATCTCAGATGCCGATGAAGTTAAATACGTGACCGTCCTATCGGCTGCTTAAACATGATCGACTCCCTTTAAGAAGAAAAATAAAAAGAAAAAAAATAATTAAGAGCTTTGTAAAGAATATAGAGATATAAAATAGCAAAAATCCTTCATGTTCGAGGAATGAAAGCTTCATGGTTCTACAATATTCTTCTTGTGTGATTTTAGTCCAAAAGATTGATCTTTTATGTGATTTTAGTTCACATAAAAGCTTGATTTAGCGAAAAATGAAGAAAATGAAGTGGGTGTTCATTGATTTTGAAGAAAAAATAGAAAATTTTTTGTTCAAAGTGCTTGATTTTGTGTTACTTTTTGTGGCCATTGTCCTGATTTTAAAGAGAAAAGAAAGGTTTACCACCGGCAATGAAAGATTTTCTGCTAGCAATTGGTGGCTTATATATCGCCGAAAAATGGGGTGGACATAAAATGGGAGGAGAGAAATGGGGGAAGAAGGTGGAAGAAAAAGGAATAAAAAAATTAAAACGACATCGTTTTAACCTAAATTTGATTTTTTTAAAGATTTAAAATTATTTTTTTTACTACAAGTTGTCATGTTATAATGCCGTTAATTATTTAATGACAAGATGATAAAAAAGTTTAATGTCTAAAGTTCAATAAGTAAATTAAAAAAAAATTAAAAGTGAAATGAATAAAATATGAGAGATAATAAAATTAAGTGAATAAACATGTAATTTATCCTTAAAAATAAACATACCGTAAAGTCTTATGTCCTATCAGTTTCATTTCTTTTTCTAATAAGAGGAGTATAGTACATTTCAAAGGGAGGTTCAAATCAAATCGACTCTTAGGATTTGTTTATAATTGAAAAATATTTTTTTGAAAAATATTTTTTTAATTTTCTTGTGTTTGATAGCTTAAAAATATTTTTTGGTGTTTAATAGTTGTAATTAATTTTACAAAAAATATTTTTCAGTGTTTAATTGTTGTAATTGATTTTCTCAATGTAATTTATTTTCCTAATTTCTTTGTATTTCTGTAAATTGTTTTACCATCTGATTTTTTGTAAAACATTTTTCTTAACTTTTCACTTAAGAATATAAACACTCAAAAAAAATATTATTTTATACATTTAATATTAAATTAATATTTTAATATTATTTTAATAAAAATATTAAATTAATATTTTAATATTATTTTAATAAAAATATTAATTATTAAAATATTTAATATACATATTGTAGACACCCGTTTTTATCCGAGTCTACAAAAATATTTTATATTATATTATATTATATTTATTTATTATTTTTTTGCAGGCCCCACACTCAACAACTTTGATTTAGTGAGATTTATAAAATAAATCAACGTATTTGAGTCTTATTGAAACACTAAAACCAACGTATTTGAGTCCTATTGAAACACTAAAACCGAAGCATTTGAGTCCAAGTATGACTCTAAATCTGAGCTAAAAATAGGTTTCTTTAGACTATAAATAGACTCAAGCATCAAGAGGAAATGACAGAGAGAAAAACGTGAGACCACATTCCAGAGTCTAAAACACAAAGTACCCAGTGTGCTGCTGCTTCACACGATCCCAAGACATTTAATTCTAAGTCCGGGGTTACACCAGTGGTGCAAAAGCAAGCAAGAAGAAGCGCTAAGGATTTGTAGCAGAGCTGAATACACGGACTTTAATTTCCGTTTGCAATTCGAAAGGTTTTTTTTAATTGATTTTGTTGTTTTGGAACGTGTTTGTTTGCGGAATTTTACAATTGTTATTTTTTTCTGCTTTATAAAATACCAATGCTGACTGTTTTGAAATGAACGAGTTCTATATTTGTTGTGTTTATTTCACATGTTGGTGTTTCTCATGTTCATTTGTTATAATAAATATGAATTAAGAAATGATAATACATTATTTATTATTATTATTATTTATTATTCATTTTTTTACTTTTTGTTTAGCATTCAATATTTTATTTTGTCATCTACCATTTTGTTTATTTTTTCTTCGGTAGTAATTTCAACCGAAGGTAAATAATTTGAATCGGGTTTTTAAATTTTAATTTTCGTAATTAAAGACAACCGAAAAATTAATTGATACCGAAAGAGCGGTTCAAGGGTGCTAATCCTTCCTTGACCGTAACCGACTCCCGAACCCAACACGTTTCTGGTACAACGCAGATCAGGTAAGATGGTATTCGACCCACCTAAATTTATTTTAAAGTGGTCGGTGGCGACTCTAACCCAATCAATTCAAGTCGAAGCCTAATTCCGGGCTCAACCGAAAGACGGTCGCGACAGCTTGGCGACTCCACTGGGGACAGGTAAGTGAGTCAGGCTGAAATTAATTTTCGGTTGTCTTTTTATGCGAAAATGGTAAATTTAAATTTATTTATTCGATTCCAATTATTTATCTTTGATTATTTTTCAAATAAATAGTTGTACTGACGTTTTTTTTAATGATTTTAGATTTTTTTCAAAATTGTCATTTCTAGCTCTATACCCGAGCTCCAAACCCTATTTAAGTGGAGTAAAAGCGACGCCTTCGTGTGAATTTATTCACCGCACAGACATAAGGGAATGTGTCCTCTCGAGTTTAACTTAGTCCACACAAGCTTGTAATAGGCTTAGGACTAAGGGTCTGGCAAGCCCAAGGGAGCACCGGCAAGGAGAACTCGATTACCTTTTTAGAACCTAAATCGGGAGAGTGCAGGGAATTAGAGCCCACCCCAAAATCTCATTCCAAACCCTACTTTGTTTCCGGCTTTATTTTCTGTTCAAAACATGCAAACTAGACAAATATGCGGTTAGGATTTGTTTGAAATTAGCATGCGGGATAGAAATCATGTCCGGGTAGGAATACTAAGCATGTTCGAGTAGATATCATGTGGGTAGGACATTTTCATGATTATTTTTTTATTATTTTTACCTCACTAACTCTTTTTATTTTTCTCTTTCATTTTATTTTCATCACTTGCATCATTTAAAAGAGGTGTTGATCCACCAAAAACTTGTTTGTTAATAATCTGCATTAATGGACAAAGGAGTTGTAATACAAGAGATGAAAATACAGAGGACAGTCTACAAGGCGACTATGTGTCACATTCAATCCAGAAGATGTGGTGCCCACAATTGAAGAGTATATCACTCTGCTGCATTATAAAGAACTCAATGAACCGGGTCTACATCAAGCACAATGAAAGTCTATCTTTGAAGAACTGACTGACAGAAGTTGCAGGGGCAAGATGAAGACCACTGATCTTAGGAGTCACTTCAAAGACGACAATGGCAAAATGATGACTGAAATTGGAGACCATTACTGACGAATTCAAGAAACATACAAATAGACTTCACATAGTTCCTATCTCCAATGATGTATTCATTGGAAACAGGCTCAACAAAAGATAAATGCCGGAGGTGCAGTCCTTCGAGACTTTTTTTGGGGCAAACAACTCGTCATTTGCACGGTTCATCCAGAGAAGCCAGAGCGGTTCGACAGGTTATTCAACCGGTGACTGATGAAGGCGGAAGACTAGTCAACATGTCAGAAGCTGTCAGAATATTTCTAATAACATACACATTTTTGGATCAATGCCTCGAACATTGCATGCATCATGCATTCCTGCATATTTTGTATTACTTTTCTCTTTTTTTTTACATTCACATGTCTCATAAAAAATGAGAACATTTCAATCATATAACATATAAGGAGCTTTACCAACAGTTGTTGACACACAAGTGGTGTCACCATATCCAGAGAAATCCATGAAGCCCCCGTACCCTAGGTAGTATTATGAGAACGCTCATTGCGAATATCATAGCGGTGTCCCAGGGTACACTATCAAGAACTACTCCGCATTCAGGATAATCGTACAGAAAATACATAACAAGAATCGAATCGACTTCAATAACTCGGGGGCATCCAAGTGAGGAATACC